AGCCCCCCCCCACCAGGTCGCGGGTTAATAGCTGGCGTAGGTTTCTCGAGCCTCGTGACAATCGAATACGGGCCAGGGCCCCATACGCCCATGGGGGCCCATCAGTTGTTTGGGGGGGGGGCAAATGATATGATGGCCCCCTGATTTGCCTTTGGGAGGGCATGGCCCTGATGCTCCCCCCCCCCCGCCCCCCTGCGACCGCCACTGCACCAATCTGAGGCTGTTGACAAAGCTGACATCTGGCGAGCAGGCTGAAAACCAAAACTTTAGTCCAGACAGAGCGCGCCCTTGAAAAGTGCGCCTAGAGCGGTCAAAAGGTGTCGTCTGCCGGCGCAATCGTTGAATTTAGAGTGCGCTCACGTCACGTATAATGGCTGAATGCCAAATCGTTTCCAGACAAAAATATTTGATCTTTTGAGTTGTTTCTTGTTAGACATGAGCTTTAGAATATTTATAGAGGTTGTGTCAAAGCGGTGAATGACAAAAACGGTTCTAAGCACCTTAAAAGCCTTTGTAGATTCAGTAATTTTTAAGCGCACCATGTTGTGTATCGGCGCAGTGAAAAGTCACGTGACCCGACTTGGTCACGTGACTGCGCTTAAAACCGAAATCGTGATCATGGGAGAAAATCTGCAGGTGGTGTTCTAACACCGCTCCCCTAGCAGTGCGCGGCTATGAAGCATGATGAACAGGTATTACAAAAGATCATAAGATGAAATAAATACGTGCATATACCTTGCATAATGCCCGCTATTCAATCCTTTCACGTGGAAAATATGAGCATATCGACACTGAAATACTATTGAGCGATTACATTCCTTCCTTTCCATTAGGAGTACCGAAATATGAATCGTTGGAAACATGCATCAGTATCACCACATCGTCACGTGCTGAAGCCGAAAAACAGATTGTCGATCCAAACTTTTGGGTTGGACGAGTCGCTTCGCTTTTTCACTATATATGGCCTTGGCTTTTTCGCTTTTTCGATTTTTAGAGTCGCTTTTTCGCTTTTTAGAGTCGTTTTTTCGTTTTTTTCGCGTCGCTTTTTCGAGTTGCTGATTTCGTTTTTTCGGTTTCGCTGCCGTGGAGCTACACCAATGTTATCAAGTGAAGCTGATCGTTTACTGAAGCCGAAAAAGCGAAAAAACGAAACGAAAAACCGAAAAAGTGTGCCGTGGAGCCTGTACTTTAAGGTGGGACAGTCCCTTTAAAGTGCCGTCTGTAGATGAAGCATCCGCCCAGATAATGTCACGTGCTACGCCGATTTTGTCGTTTGCAATAAAGCCTGTTTGTCGAATCTGGCCTAATTTTCATAAAAACTAACAAACTTTGACCATTGATTAATAATCATCCAGTTACTTACTGTGCATGTCCGTGCGGCCCCTAGGAAAAAAGTTTTAAAGAGCATATTATTACATGGCTCCTGTGTTAATTTGGCATGAGATATTTTTTACTATTGCCCGGCATCAGGTTACTGACCTTTCAGTGTCAGGCTACTGACCTTTCTGAAGGTGAGAAGCGGTTGCCATGTCAACGGTCAATAGTAAGTTGCTCGCGCAGTGGTGTTTGAACAAAAATTCAAATGTCGTAATTTTATCGTCGTTTTCTCAGACTGTTCAGTTTGATTTCGTGATTGGCTAGTCAAGTCATCTAGAACTGGGCCGTCATTTGAACATGTCCGTTCAAATGCCCCGATTTAATTTGTTGGAGCCGCATGAATTGGATGAGCTATTTTCATCGCGCAGGGCTCAGGGCACTAAAAAGGTGATTAAATCAGCAGAAGACGTCTTCATTGAGTTCTTACAAGTAAAAGGCATATCTGTTGAAAGCTGCATGCACAGCAACGATGTCCTGGACAACGCTGTGAAGGAGTTCTTCATTACTGTAAAACGCAAGGACGGCGAACGCTACAAATCGAAGAGTCTCCACACTCTCAAGTACGGCGTGAAACAGAAAACAGAAACAGAAAACAGAAAACAACTAAGTGTGTGCCGTAGACATGTGACGTGGCTATGATTGTATATCCAATACATTCAATTGTACCATGATATTTGTGTTTGGATATTTTTTTATTACGGGATGAATGAGTAGGTACTACAGGGTGGAAAGTAATTACGCGAACATACTTTTTCGTCTTCTAGTAATGAAAAAAACGGCGGTGACATAAACAATATATGTTTTACTTTATCCTTATCTAGTTGCGATGCATTGACATAGGCGTTCCGGCATGATTTACATCAGCATGTGAAGATCTGTTGGCCAAAGCTCAGCCCACACCTTATGGAGCTGTCCAGTGAGGTAATCGGTGTTGGTGGCTCCTTGCAGCTTTTAGACGGTCTCCTGAGGAGTCATCTGGAGATTTTTAATCGAATTGAGGCCCAGGCGTTTCCCAGATCAGCTTTTGTATGTCCTGAAGAAAAACAGGTTCTCACAGCACCAGTATTGCGTTTTGTTGGCCGTGAAAGTAAGGATTTCACCAATCACGAAGAGCAGTTTCTTTGCGTCAGGCACAAAAGTGCGCTCAGTCATTTTGCCCCTTTCGTTGCACGGTGGATTAGACAGAGACACTCGTCTTGGAGGATGTTCCACCGGTTGTATACTTTATTTTTAGTGACCTTTTTTAGCGCTACACGCAATTCTGACACCACCCGGGGGCTCGTGACCCACTGATGTGTTCCTTTGCCGGATGTTTGAAGGTTGGGACGGACGGGACATAGGACGCAACAGCAGCCCTCAGAGCAGTTGTTCTGCAGGTTTGACGGATGAAACAGTTTCACAGATGTCTCACCCAACCACAAATCCAGCTGCCTGTCCTCCTCTGTCCATCTTTGATTGTCTTTGAAAAGCTTCAATTAACAATTCTGCTGTTAATTCGTGAATTTTGGTCATCCCGAGGGTTTGTACGACTTAATTTTCGAATTTTTGCGTATTAATGTGCGAATCGTGATATCTTAGATCGGGTACCCGGCCAGAGTAAGCTATTTTGCCAGTTTTCGGGTCGACTGGCGTCGTTTTGTCGCCGACATGGTGACCACCCGCCCGGCGGCAGAATTCGCCGAGGGGTTGCTGCCGCGGACGGCTTTGCTTTTTAAGTCCTCTCAAGTGTTATTATGTTAAAAAAACGTATAATTGTGCAATGCTGGTGCTGAGACCACTACGAATCCCTTCTCCGCCAATCCAGCGAAAATAATCATAAACGCTTTCCCTGACAGCTCCAAATTGAGCTCTTTGCCCATTTCGGTCTTGTGCAGCGTATGGTGTCTGCACCATTTTAAGTCGAGAGGTGTTTAAGACCTTCCAGGTCATTGTTCAAAGTTGGGTCACTTTTGGTAGATGAGGCGACAACAAACACGACCAATTATGTTCCATGACAGCCCGTACTCATAATAATGCTCCACTGACGGTCAAAATTGTAAGAAAATACATGTTCGCGTAATTACTTTCCACCCTGTAAGTAAAGATTCCGAGAGTTGGCCATGTAATAAAACGAATACTGCATGGGGGAGCGGGCAATAGCAAAAATATTGCCCTCTGTAACGTCACTGTCGCCCTCGGGTGAAGACCTCCACAAGTGCTATTGCCCTCGGCTTCGCCTCGGGCAATAGCACTTGTTTCGGTCTTCACCCTCGGGCGACAGTGACGTCACATCGGGCAATATTTTTTGCTATTGCCCGCTCCCCCATGCAGTATTCGTATACTGTTGGCCATTACACTCTTCTTTAACCTCCAGATAAGTCACACTTCGTGGCCAAAAACTTGCGCCAAACCTCGTCTCAGCTCTTCATGTATGTCTACCAACACACATCTGGAGGTTATTCGTAATTCTTTAAGATTCTTGGCTTACTTTTCGGGCTCCCAAGTCAGAACTACGCATATAAGAGACTGGTATAACTTGAACCTTCTGACTGTGTGAATTCAGTCTTAATAAAGGCCTTTTATCACCGGAGGAATGCACCGTGCCATGACGTCACATATGTCACAACTGTCACACAACAAAATGTCACACATACAGGGTGTTCCAAAAAAAAGTGAGCCCCAAACTTATATTGCTTTTATCTCCGAAACCGTATGTCCTACGATAATGAGAGACCCCTTGTTGGAAAGAACGGTCAATTTCGGTTCTAGTAGGCTACCTAGTGTGGTTCTGAATGATCACGTATTACACCGAGAACGACCAGAACAAAATGTGTTGCGAGATCGAGTGATACTTGGCGACGGCGGTATGCCCCGCCTAACTATTATTGCTTTTATCTCCAAAACCGTATGTCTTACGATAATGAAAGACCCCTTGTTGGAAAGAACGGTCAATTTCGGTTCTAGTAGGCTACCTAGTGTGGCTCTGAATGATTACGTATTACACCGAGAACGACCAGAACAAAATGTGTTGCGAGATCGGGTGAAACACGGCGACGGCGGTAAACGTGTATTGCTGACGGCAACGCACGACCGATATTGGAGTGGTCAAAATACTGGTTGAACTAGGTCATCCATTCAGTCTTCATTTTTTATTATAAAAGTTCACGCGCGAAGAATGAATAAAAGCACGTGAACTGAAATATGCATTATGCAGTCAGATGTGAAGAAATTTTAACCATATCCGTTACCCCTAAATATTTCACTAGGAATTTGGTATTGAATTGTGCTTTTCACAATGCTGGTCGTGTTGTGCAAGCTATGTAACAGAATTACGACCTATCTGGATGGAATTCGATTGCTCTTTCTAATGAGCGGCTTTCCAAAGCTGTAGGATACACGGTTGCGGAGATACAGTCGATCTTAGTTAGGGGGCTCACTTTTTTGGAACACCCTGTATATCACAACTGTGTGCACTATTTCTATATCTTGCCGTAAAAAGGTGTAGAAAACCGCAGCGCACAGCGACGCGAATCTTGGGGTAGCTTATGATATGGGTGTTTTCACCAAAAATGTGCAATTATTTATCACTCCAAAATTGTACGTTAAATTGATGTGATTGGTTGGGCGTGGCCTGTGTCGGACAGAGCGGTGTGCTGGTGCTACGTCCGTGGCGCGCCGGAGCCGCGGCCGCCTCCCGGCTCGTCTCCCCGGAGCTGCTGGTCTCCGAGGGCGGCGCCATCGAGATCACCTACTGGCTGTGGTATAACGACGCTCCGAACCAGGTCACCTTTCTACTTTACAGGTCAGATCACGGCACTGGCTGAGCCGTACTTACAGTCGTTTTAGTAAGAATACCCAGAGTAGTGATGTCAGTTTCAGAAATTCTGGAAACCGATACAAAACCGATACCGAACAGAACCACTGAGAGTATACCGAAACCAAATTGATTTGGGAAAATAGGGGAAAATGCCGACTGGAAATCGAAGTAAGTAATTCCTTGAATATCCTCTTAAAAATGTTCCTAACCCGGCGGGGGAGGGGGCTTTACTTTTTGATGATATCGTCGCAACGCAAAGAGATAGAGAAAAATAGCTTTGCACACACATTTCTGAAAAGCTTGCCGAGTTTGTGTCCAAACGTTTTCAAAAATTCAGAAATATCATTTTCAGAAATTCTGGAAACCGACACTAAATCGATACCAACCAGCACCACTGAGAGCATACCGAAACCGAACCGAATTAGGGAAATAAGGGAAAATACCGACTCGAAACTAAATTAACCCGCGCCCTGCTGGGGGAGGGGGTTGAACACCCCTCTTGTGGTTTTTTTCGCGAATATCTGATAAACGGCGTTTTTGGTACACCTTATCATACATCCTTTCTATATGAATTGTGAAAATTTCAGATTCAGGTCACTTAACCCTCGCCCGCACATCGGGGGTGATTGCCCCCCCCCCCCCAGGTAGTCTTTCTGCTCTCCACTCATGGGCGGCGCCACCGCGGGGGACGGGGGGGACAGGTCCCCCGCTATCGAAAGTTAGGGGGGTACAGTACCCCCCTATCGGCGAGACCCGTTCAATAGTCGATAATAATGCATTGTAGAGTTATCCGTCACATTTAATGCATCGTTGGTTAATCAAGGCAGGTTCTGAATAAAGATTGCTGTTGGGATGTATCGCAGGGGGTCCTGCCATCTGCAAAAGGTGTGGAGCTGCAGTGGCGGGTCCAGGGGGGCATTTGCCCAAAATGGGCATTTGCCCCCCCCCCACAAACGGAATAATTTTAACATTACGCCTATGGACGAGGCATGGAAAGAATCGATAAATTGTTATGGTTTGCCCTCTCCCCCCCCCCCCCCCACAAAAAACCTCTGAGCTGGATCCGCCTCTGTGGAGCTGTGATGCCTGTAGTTATAAGGTGATCGGCAGGGCCTCGGGGATCGTGCTCCCCTTTTGGGGCGCCAGGCAGGGTTATTACCTCCCCACCCCACTGCCAGACCCCATTGCCGACAAAACCAGGTTTACTGAAATTCCATAGATTTCGTTACTTTATGGGTATTTTCCATTCCTAATTAGTCAAATTCAAGCATGGCAGTTCTACCACAGGAACCATTTGAAATCTATGCCATTTAACCCCAGCACTTGTGGGGAGAAGTGTTGACCCAGATCACCAGTTGACCCAGTTGGATAGATCACAGGTAGGACCAAAAAAAGCACGCAGTAGCCCAAGACCTTATAATTGGGTAGCATCGGCTCCCTCTCGTCAAGGGGTTCGATAGCACTCGTTTTTTATCTGGAAAACTAAGTTCGGTCGGCGGCCGAACGGCTGGGGGTCTAATCGAGCCCCCCTCCCCTTCTTACGTCAGCGGCTGTGAAAATGCCATTACCAGCTGTTGAAACATGGCAGTTGCTTTTGCACGAAAGGGTTTTAGGTACGTGATACGTGAAAGGTTCTACATGAAAATTGAGATACACTAGCTTATTAAATTGTGCTCACTGTGGTGCGCTCGGTTTTACCTTGACTAGTCTTTGAATTCTGGGGTGAAACAGACCAGTCAACTGTCAAGAAACCTGTTCCATAAGGAGAGCCACTAATGCTAAAGAGATGAGGATGAGGTTTCCAGAGACCTTCATTACCTCCCAAAGGGGGTGCCCCGCCATTTGCCAATCCCTGCTGTAGTTGTTACGATTGGAGGGTGAATATGAGAACGATACAGGTCGTGCCAGCTCGATCATGACGAACACAATGGTGCCGACATCACAGCTCTACTGCCATTTTTGACGAAGTTAATCAACAAGGACCGGAATCCTACCCTGGGGCATTTCACCTGCGGATGTCGCCGGACCTGAGACCCTTTCACTCATTTTTTTTTCAACGGTGCATGCGCTCGTTTTTCCCGCGAAGCTCTTGGTAAGTAAAATCCATCAGAAAGTGTGATCAAATAACGGCTGGTGACCTTCCATGACCTAGCATGACCTTTTGAGTGACCACCGATGACATGACCACTGACGGCTAGCCATTAGCTGCACCCTGCCCGTTGCATATGGATTACACTGTAAACCAAATCTACAAGTTGGCTCCTTGTTACAAGTTTGGTTCCAATTCGCATAGGCGTCACCTTGTCGATACCTTGTCGATTCACCAACCCCAGGCTTGTTGGCCACCAAACTAACAGTTTGTCTACAAGTTTGGTTCCAATTCGCATAGGCGTCACCTTGTCGATACCTTGTCGATTCACCAGCCCCAGGCTTGTTGGCCAACAAACTAACAGTTTGTCTACAAGTTTGGTTCCAATTCGCATAGGCGTCACCTTGTTGAGTACTAGTCTGGGCCTTGTTGACCTACCAACTTCTGGATAGGCATAGTCGTTTCCTTGTCGGTTCACCAATCCCTGGTTTGTTGATGAACAAGCCTAGCCTTTGACTGGGCATTGCTAGCTTACAAATTGTCAACAAGTAAGTGTACTAACACTCTGTTCGAACTTGCTCTTCCTTACAATCGCTTTGTTTGCGTTGATACTTGATAACCTTAAGAACTTACGATTCGCGTTCGTTTTCAATTGCCACGATACTGATTCAGGAAATATTTTCTATACGGAGTCACGGACAGGTTATTTTTGGCTGGAAGTGGTGCACAAAACCATGACTGGCATCAGTTATTGCTCATGCTCAAAGGCTTGCGCTGACAAGAAACGAAATACTGATGGGTTATATCAATGAATGCATACACCTCATCCATTCGGAAGTTTCTGGAATCATTAGTATTTATTACGGTCACGTAATTAATACTATTGACTGGAGACAATTCCGAGTGCATATTTCCGAATGGATGTGGTAAATGCATGAGGTAGGTATACCCAGTAGGTAAACCTATCGTGCACCGTCAGCATATAAGTCTTTGAAGCAAGAACTGCTGCGTATGTGGAAGAACATGGTTTTGTGCACCGCATTAAGCCAGAAGTATAACATGCCCGTATGACGAATATTTCCTGAACATTAAGCATAACAATCATGGCAGTTGCACGATCACGCAGATAATTCGAATAAATCATGATCGCCAACCAGATTAGCTTTTACAACCCATATATGTCCATCAGTTAAGTTAAAAATACAAAGAGTTGGATTAAAGACAAATAAATGTATTTATATATAAAAAACACCGACCGCAAAACATCTGCTCACATGTGCATGCACAGGCCTGGTCCACTTACATTGCGCGCGCAGGGGAAGGGAGGCGTCTCGACCGCGGGTATAGGCACGATTAGTGCGTCCCGCAGGCCAGAGGGGGCCTCACTCACAGCACGAACACCACAGATCACAGATTTCACTTTTTACTGCACAAATGCTGGAACAGCCCTCGTCGCTGCTCCAGGCTGCACGGCGGCCGCGCGACAACTGCTGGTTCGAAACCGCCGCGCCGGGGCCCGCTAACGGCTGACGGCGACCGCTGATTGGTCCGCCAAGTCTGACGTCATGGGCGCAGCTGACCATGTGTATGCTGACCAGCTGACCAGTACAAGTTAGGCGCCGGTTAAATAACCATGCGGCAACAAGTTTCCAAAACTGGTTCAGAAACAAACGTTGAAACAAATGTAGAGTTGGTCTGGATACTGAGAAGTTGGTGTGCATAGTAACTATTGACTGGTAGTTGTCACCTGACAAGCAATGCACCAGACAACGGCTTGTTTAAAAAGTATCAGTTGGTAAACATACCAAGAGATGATTGGTTATATTACACAAGACTTGTCAATTTGGTTTACAGTGTAGGTGGTGATGTCATGATTCTGAAATTATATTGCAGTTTTGGCGCACTTGTCAGAGCAGAAGACATTCCCACTTTTCCTCCATGACTATATGATGGTGAAGCCATGAAGCTGACCAGACGTAAGATCGAATCGAAAATTTGAAAGTACGAAACGTAAGAATAGTTGACACTGCTACTCATACCTAAGCAATTCGCAGCTTGTAGGAAACCAGCTTTGAGTTGGCAAGACTGCAAATTTTGATTAAGAGGCAATGATGCTTGAAAAGGTGATCGATCTTAGGTGTCCTAGGATAAGTTTGGAAACAGGATGCACCATTCGATGTGTTTTGGGCTTTGCCAAGTTTCGCGGCGTTACGTGACTCGTTTTTTTTTTTTTTGCATACACGATTAGTAGGTATCTACTTTTGGGATTTTCGGTCAGGCAAGTCCCCGTCCCCCCCTATCGAAAACCCGTGGCGTCGCCCCTGTCTCCACTGGCAACATTTTTAGAGCTAGAATCTTGATTTTTCGTATAGCTGCTCCTTTATCCTTTCTTGATGTCCACTGATAATTTCAAGTTTCTGTGGTTTTTGGTTTCGGAGATATGACCTTGTTTTTCAGGTCATGTCATGACCCAAATGACCAATTCTCAACATCTTGCGTTGGCTATGGGCCTTGTGAGCTTTTGACACCCTGATTTCGGCCTTTTTTGCCAGTCTTACCTCCCACCTATCATGGAACATGTTGTTCGACGATGTACAGATGTCAAGGTCCGGGTCAAGGTCAACCTAGGTCATCTAAAATAATTGCGTTTTAGGCAAGCTGAAACTGCTGAATTAACTTTTCGTGAAGTTTTTTGACTGTATTTTTGTAAAAGCTTCTCAGATCATGATTTCATGTAAAACGATCGGTGCACACTGCACACTTCAGTATACACACAGCAGACACACACAGACATACAAACACATATCATTGACCTTGACCTAACTTGACCTGAAATGACCTCAGCAGCAAAAACCTGGACGGGTAGTGTGACAAAGAGGTTCTAGCTGGCTTGGCA